TTGTGTGGGGAATATTTTTATGCTTTTATATAGTTCACAATTTCACAACTTGTCATATTTCATCCAGTTTGCACACAAACCTGAGAACGACATTTGGCAAATTTCATATCATGTGGTTAAACGAACAACTCTTTAAGTATTTATGTCTTTAGCATTACACATTCATAAGTCTTCAGCAAACAGCATCCAATAAATATAGATATGTAAGTTCTAACCCAGTGCAGACAAGTATATGAACTGTCCAATGTAGTTATATTTTGTGATTTTTTGTTCACAGATAGAGTCAATAAGCAGTCTATATGACCTTACTTGATTTCTCCATTCCTTGAATATTTGTGAAAAAAAATTCTAAAGCTATAAATCCCAATACTTTTATTATTATCATTGATATTACGATTATGTCATTAAAATAATAATAGCAATAATTTTTTTTTTAGCTTTACCAAAAATCAAGGAAAAAAGAAGACAGGCACAATAGGTAGAACTGGTAATTGACCGCTTGGCAGCTAAGCTCTTACGAAACCATCTTTATATAAACACAATAAACAAACTAAAATCATATTGGATACCACTTGCATGTACATGTAATCCTCGGTGGCAATGGGTTAAAATCACTCTACTGAATACTACTTTACTTTGGCTTTGGGCTCCATTCCTTTTTTTATTTTTTTTATTTTTAGGGAAATAAAGCTTCAAATATTAAACAAGTTTTTTTTTTAATATCAGTATGAAACTGGAAATTAATAACTTATTCCTACATCACTTATATACATCATTACCATCAGTTTTATCCGACAGAACAATATTGTCTAAAATAAAATAAATTTTCTTTACAAAACAAATCAGGAAATCCAGAGAAAAAATTCCCAAAAAGGAACTTATAAAAAAAAAAATCCAAATTAAAGCTTTCTTCTTCCTTCATAAGCATATACCATTACAAAAATAAGAGTGAAATTAAATAAAACAGTAATATATCAAAATAATAATGCCTATAGAAACAAAAAACATGAAAAACAGGAAATAAATATACACATATAAACATCTATGTCTTTGTTCCAGCCGGCACCGATATCTCGGTCTCCTCCCCATCCCCCTCCATCACATTCTCCGGAGGGACCTCAGTGACGATGAAACTGTGGCTCTCGGACAAGTCAATGATCTGCTGGGGTCCTGGGGTTGCCAGGTGGCTGTTGGCATCGCTTGGGTTCAGGGACTCATCTGTCGCTGAATAGGCACCCCCTCCTAGGCCACTCGCGTCCATGTCCTCCACTGGGGGCACACTCACCGGCTGGAGAGAGGGAGAGGGAGAGATGGTGATACAATGAAGGAGCAATACTATATTTGCTAAGGGCTTGAATATTTCTTAATAAATATAGAAGGAAATACACCATTTTTAAGCTCTTTTTTTCTTTTTTTTTTTAGTATACTTATAACACATGTAATACCAAGGTAAGATTCACAAAACTGTTCATGAATCAAATGGAGACACAGAGGCAAACAGGCGACTCACCAGGGGGTCAGGTATGGGCGTGTGGTAGATGCAGGTTGTGGTGTGGGGGGTTGAGATCACTGGCATGGAACAGCCATCGTCGCCATACCTGCTGACACCACACGCCCCAAAGAGCACTTGGTTCGGGTCCTGAAGGGAAGAGGAAAACCACATCAGTCAGGAAAATTGTGGGAGAGAGAGGGAGATATTTAATAAGCAACATTAGACGTAAAAGTAACTATAAAATCTGGAATAATCAGTAGATCATCTCTCAATTACCTTAGTGTTTAAGGTTATTAAATTGGGAAAGATAAAAGATTTTTACACCTTCATCAAAGATTACAGATATACAGATATCAAAAATACAACAATGATGATAAAAACAATAATTATGATGATAACAAGAAGAGTAATCATCATAACCATTACCATGATCACTAACAGTTTAAATTAACAACACAAGTAATCATCAGAACAGTAAAAAAGAATCACTACCACCTTCCTTCCCAATACCTACATGTAAGATATGTTTGGCGCAGTATTTTGAGAGAGGTATCGACTTCTCCCCACATCGCCAGGAGCCCTCACTGTAGATGCACTTCACACAGCCAACACTTGGTCCAGGTTTATAGTTTACACCTTCTGTCACCTGAGAGGGATGAGGCAAAGAGGAGAGGGAAGGATTAGTGTCTAATTTTTGTTCTTTTAAATATAAGATGAAGTTTATATATGATGATGATGATACTGAATGCATGTAATATAACTGCTTGCCCAAATTCATGACAAAAATTATAAAAACTAAAAATATGTATGAAGAAGCAACACATAATGTATTACTGATCATACTGTTTATCAATACTGGACTACAATTACTCTCTAAAAATGCGAAAATTCAGAATTCCTCAGTTAACTACAAGTTTTATCAACTCTGATTTACTATAAAATAACTGTCTAAATTCACCAGATATAAAGGGTTTTGACATTAAATGCAGTTCAATTTCCAACTAAGTA